TTTTTTTTTTTTTTTTTTTTGCGGTTTTTGGTTGGGGCTGGGTTTGAACCCGCCAACTCTGGCATATGGTGCTGGCGCCCTACTCCTTTGAGCCACAGACGCTGCCAACATCTGGCTATTTTTTGCTGTAGTTGTCATTGTTGTTTAGCTGGCCCAGGCCGGGTTTGAGCCCATCAGCCTCAGTGTATGTGGCTGCTGCTGTAAGTACTGTGGTATGGGTGCCGAGCCTTTTTTTTGAGACAGAGTGTCACTTTGTCACCCTTGGTAGAGTGCTATGGGCTCAAGCAACCTCAAACTCTTGGGTTCAAGCGATTCTCTCTTTTTTTAATTGAATGGTAACTATGTACATTAATGCATTTCTGGGGTACAGTGTGGTGTTTTCACATACAATTTGAAACATTTCGTCAAACTGGTTAACATAGCCTTCATGTAGTTTACCTAGTTATTGTGCCAAATTGTTCATATTCTATTCTTAGAAAGGTTCACTTGTACCCTTCAAGCGATTCTCTTGACTCAGCCTCCCGAGTAGCTGGGACAATAGGCACCCACCACAATACCCAGCTACTTTTAGAGACAGGGTCTCACTCTTGCTCAGGCTGGTCTCGAACTCCTGAGCTCAAGCAATCCACCAGCCTCAGCCTCCTAGAGTGCTAGAATTTACAGGTATGAGCCACCGTGCCTGACCTTAATTTATTTTATTTTATTTTTTTGGAGGCAGGTTCTCACTGTGTTGCCCAGCTTAGAGTACCCCAGTGTCATAGCTCACAGCAACTTCAAACTCTTGGGCTCAAGGAATCCTTCTGCCTCAGCTTCCCTAGTACAACAGGTGCCTGCCATAATGCTTGGCTCATTTTTCTATTTTTTAGTAGAGAGGTGAATCTCATTCTTGCTTAGGCTGGTCTCGAACTGCTGAGCCCAAGCAATCCACCTCCCTCAGTCTTCCAGAATGCTAGGATTATAGGAGTGAACCACCACCCCTGGCCAGGAATATTTATTGTGAAGTTTACATTTGAGCTGTTTTTTTTGTTTGTTTGTTTTTTAATTGAGACAGAGTCTCACTTTATTGCCGTCTGTAGAGTGGCTGTAGTGTTACAGCTCACAGCAATCTCAAACTCCTGGGCTCAAGCGATACTCTTGCCTCGGCCTCTCTATCAGCTGGGACTACAGGCACCTGCTACAATGCCCAGCTGTTTTTGTTGTTGCAATTGTCATTGTTGTTTTAGCTGGCCTAGGCTGGCATTGAACCTGCCAGCCTTGGTATCTGTGGCTAGCACCCTACCCACTGAGCTCCAGGCAGCGGCCTATATATTTTTTTGTGTATGTGTGTTTGGCAGACTTGGGCCGGGTTCCAACCCACCAGCCCTGGACCATGTGGTCATTGCCCTAACCACTGAACTACAGGTGCCTCAAAGAACTGGGTATTAAAGAATAAGTCATATTTAAGATAGAGATGGAAGCTAAGGACATTTTAGGAGGAGAGAATTTGCAAAAAGTGCTGGACACTTCTAGAGAACCAGAATCAAAATTCATTTTTGCTGCAGCTTAAGGTTATTGAATTGGGGGAGTAGTGTAGGAAATGTTACAGGGAGTATACTTTGGACCTTAACTTAGAACTTAAGGACAAAAGGTTTTATTTAGTTAAGTTGAAGGATACTGACAAGATTAGATCTAAGGGCTGGCAAGATTTACTGGGCTTTAGAGAACAGTATATTGAAGGAGAGATGCCTGAAGAAGAGATCAGTGTGGAAGTTATTTGGATACCCTAAAGAGAGCCTGTGTTGTGCAGTGAAAGTGATGATGGGTTGTAGAGATATGAAAGTTTAATGTGCAGAGTTTGCTAACATAATGGAAAAAGGAGAAAAGGGAGATAAAGGCAAGGATTTCTGTTTTCGACATGGATTCTTAGGTTTTATTACTAAAGTGTCAATAAAAGGAATAGGATAGTCAGAGCAAGGCAGACTCGATATGGAGAGTCACGAATTCAGGTTTGGCTGGTGTGAATTTGAGGTAAGGAGACATCTTGATAGGGAGAAATCTTGGAGTCCTCAAGGTGTCTAGGTTTGAGGACCTACTAGGAAGACTTACAAGACTCAGTGTATGTATATACATAGTACTCACAGCTATCACTTTGAAAAGATACAGAGCAAAATTAGAGAAGTTTCATGGGCCAAAGTCCAGAGGAAACCAGGCACAGACTTCTAAGAGTCATCTCCCAGTGGAGTCTGCAAGACATGCTTAATTCTTCCAGCAACAAATAGTAACAACTTACCTGAAGTGTTGTCAGAGAAGCTCATTAGAGACCCAGTGCTCAGGGATTGTTGGGGGCATGTCGCATGGTCTCTCTTGTCTAGCAGTACCAAATTCCAGACTTAACAGAAGGAAAGCAAATATGTAGCATAAACCACGCGTTTCCACACAGTTTAGACACAGTCATAGTGACCTCTTAACAATTCTGGAAATGGTACAAATCCTCCCCAAATCCAAGTTCCTTGTTAACCACATGCCAACCTTGTAAGTAGGCGTTCCTAAGATAGCATTCAAGCTTGCTATGTTAATTTTTGTTCAGACCTCTCAGCATTCAGAAATATGGCACTGGAGTTCAGAGACGGATCAGGGCAGAGGTATAAAACTGGCAGTTTCCCCAAAGAAATTTAGAATATCATAAAGGACATGATGCTTGCATGCTAGAGTTTAAAAATCTAATGTTTAACATTGTCCTTAAAAGACAGGTACTGGAAACTGTTTCAAATCTTGTAAAATGTATGATCCTAATTTAGCTGTGATGTGAATATCACAAATATAGACCTAAATATAGTTGGTATCTGGTTCTAATGATTCTGCCTATTAGGAAGCTGGTATAAATAAATGTTTTCTGATAGCTGGTGGAAGACCCCCCCTTTTTTTTTTACTGCACAGATCTATACACATTCAGTTAATAAAGGATTCATGGTATTAGGTTATCATATGGCTCTGCTCTCTAGAGATAGTGAATGAAATGACAGACAAGGACGGAGAAAGTAGAGTGATAAACAGACCTATATCTACGTGCATATAATGAGAATCTTTGGTTTGAGCTTTGAGAAGCCATAGAAGGTTTTTGAGCTTATGTGGTCCAAGGGGTACATTTAGAGTCTTCCTGGCAAATAAAAATGAGTTTGGAGTGGGAAGAGAGCAGGAGAGAGAGGTGTTGTGGGCAGTCTAATTCAGATGCAATTTTAGGAGTCTTAACAAACGTTAAGAGTCTGAATTGAGGCTGTAGAAACAGAAAGGACCCTGGTGCCAGTTCATTTGTCACTATCTTCACTTTTTTTTTTTTTTTTT